ACAGCTTCCCCTAATGGTCCAGTTTTGGATTATCCTATCATTTTAACTCTCTTTCAACTAAACCTTCAACTGGGCACTGCTTCTCTGCCCTATTTGCTGTGTAAGGGGAAGATTACATGAAGCCAAAACAAATTTCAAAACAACTTTCATGACCTAGATGTATTGTAAGGCTGGACAGTCAGGGGTAAAGTGACAGGTCCATTCCACCTCAAGAGGGCATCAAGAAGGTTGGAAGACATTGGATGGTTGCTGAAAGTTGAAGGGTCACAGAAAAGTTGGTGAACCTGGCTCACTCTTTCAGCCAGGTTGCCAGGAGTTTCATATTAATTATAAAGATGAGAGATGGTCCTGAGATGAAAACTAATTTCTAGATCCAAGTGTGAATATTCCCAATATGTGAGATACATTTTATGGAGATTAGCCTGACATGTGGTGCAAGTGTCAATTCCCCAAAGTCTGATGGGTTTGCAATCTCATGTGCCAGTTCAAGTCTGTTTCTAGACAATGTTTTGTACAACTCTTGTCTACAGCAGAATGTAAATTAGTTCCAGATAATTTAGCAACCTTTCTTTGAATATGCATTGAATACTACGTGCTCCCCCTGAAAAAAGGCACAGCAAATATTAAACACATGTATTTAATGTACTTGATACAATTTTATCTTGAACGTCCTTATACATATTTTTCAGACTGCAAGTAAACTGAACTCTACAATCCGTGTAGGACATGATTACAGTCTCAGTAAGCAGGTCTACATGTTGATTAGTGTGCAGTGTCTACTACATATTAAGTTTAGTACTTGTATAATTAAGTACTAAATAAATGTCCAGTAGGCTGCTGTACTGTGCATTAGCACGATCACATGCTTTTTGTGTGGTGCTTAATGCACAGTAGACTAATACAACTGTGAAATATTGTATTAGCATGGTTTTGGGTGTGTGCTCATGCACAGTAGAATTAGTCTACTGTGCATTAGGCATTTCATGTAGACACACCCAGTGTCTCTACAACAACTGTATAGATATTGGCAGAGGTAACCAGTGTAAAACTGGTGTGAGGTGGGGGTCAAGCCCTTGCAGTAATTCTCTGCTACATTAGTGAATATTCTTATTGATATCTTAAGAATATCTTGCAGGGAAAAAGGATTGATGAACTAACACTAAGACTCTCTTTCATCTCTACTTTCTGTAAATCTCTATGGATATTATCAGTAGAACTGGTTGAACAATGTTTTATGGTACAATTCTCCATTAGAAAATCCATTTAATTTCATTTTAACAAAACAAAATATTTAATGTGCAAATATCAAGAACATTTCTGACAGAAAAAAATCAGAAACAATTTATTTTGCCTCTCTCACCAGCAGCAGGCCCTAAAAATGTGAAAATGTTTCATTTTGATAATATTGAAATGTTTTGTCTCAATTTTACAGTTACGTTTCTGACATCATTTCTGCCATGTCCTATGACGGGGTTGTCAACTGGGGATACGCGTATCCCCGGGGGTACTGGAGAAGACCCTAGGGGGTACACATGGGTGGGTGGGGATGGAGTGCTGCCATGCACCATCCTGCACTGCCGCGAAGGTGGCACCCACTCAGCTGGACATGGGGGGCGGGGGAAGCTTGCACAGCCATGCGCCACCCCCATCCCCCCACCCCCGCTCACTCCATGTTCAGCTGCCAGGGCTACACTGTTCCACATCCAGCCGCTGGGGGTACACTGATCCAAAAAGTCTGAAAATCCATGTCCTATGATACGATATATAGTATTTCCACATTATGCAAACAGAATGTTTCACAAGGCCAGCTTGATGTTCCAAATAAAAAAATTTTAAACTTCTGTTCCACGAATATATTTCAAGATTTCAACTGTTTATCATATTTCACAATGAAAACAAAAACAAGGGGTCAGAATGTCCTGTTTTCTGTTCAGCAATTTATTGCCATTGACATTTTGCAAACAGTCAGGAACATTATTTTCTACATTTTTTTTCTTTTTGTCCTTTCTGCCATGCTGGAATTTGCCTTGAGTCTTAAAACATAAGTCAGTCAGAATGTCCAAATGCAACTCACTTTGCCTTTCCTTGGGAACCGAAAAGGCAAACGTTAAAAAAAGAGAGAATTAAAGAAAAGGAGAGTCTATTTACCACCCTTTGTTTTGCTTGGAAAGTCACCACACTATCTGAACATCAAAAATCTCATTATAAAAAATTGTGGTTTTTTTAGAGGTTTTGTCTGAAAACAACACAGATATGCATTGTTCTGTTTACACACTGTACAACATTAAATTGAAACAAGAGGAAAGAGAGGGTGCATTAGTTGCACCTAGCATGAAATTCAATAAGACCGTAATGTAGCTATTTATATTGCTATTTTTATGTATTATTTGCTTAGCTTTGTGATAATCTGCCAGTGCATCAGCCAGATGTCATGTTAATAACATAAGAGATCTGCATTTACTCATGTATCTGATGTGATAGTCTTTAAGACCTGTTCACCAGTCTTTTCTAACTCTTGAATGGACCATGAATCTTTACGTACAATATGGAAAGTACTGGCACAAATGGCAAATGGTCCTTCCTACCCATACTTTGATAGACATGCCCATATTGGAAGAAACCAAAATCTTTATGATAAACATGTCCAGATAAGGCAGTTCCTATTTTAGTATTCTCTCTCAATCACACCTATACTAGTGAGTTTGGTTTCTGAGTATTTTAGGATTAGAAAGATGTTAACAAATTGAAGTCAATTTATATTGGAGTAATGTAGAGAATGGCAGTTGAAATGATGATGACTCTGGAGGAACTGAATCATGGGGATAAACTAAGTATATTCATATTGTGGCTTAGTGTTGACTAAGGAGAAATATGAAATCGCTTGACCAATTTCATTTCCTTTTAAGACCAGGTGACATACCACCTGGACAAGGGGGAAGAGATTGATGTCATATATCTTGACTTTAAAAAAGCCTTCAATCTGGTATCCCATGATCACCTCTTGGCAAAACTGGCTAACTGTGGCCTCTACCTCACCACGATCCGCTGGATGGGGAATTGACTCCGCGGTTGGACCCAGAGGGTGGTGGTTGATGGAAATCAATTGTCATGGTGTCCTGTGACAAGTGGGGACCCTCAAGGCTCTGTCCTAAGACCTATACTTTTTAACATCTTCATCAATGATGTAGACATTGGTGTCAGAAACAGACTGGCCAAGTTCACTGACGACACCAAACTCTAAAGCACCCACACCTGAGGACAGGAGGGTGATCCAGGCAGATCTTGACAGGCTCATGAAATGGGTGGATGAGAACCTGATGGTGTTTAATACCGAAAAATGCAGGGTTCTCCACCTTGGGAGGAAAAACCTGCAGCATGCTTATAGGCTCGGCAGTGCTACACTGGTTAGCACTACAGACAAAAGGGATGTGGGGGTCATGATTGATCACAAGGTGAACATGAGCCGTCAATGTGATGCTGCAGCTAGTAAAGCGAGCAAAATGCTGGCTTGCATCCATAGATGCTTCTCAAGCAAATCCCAGGACGTCATTCTCCCATTGTACTCTGCCTTGGTGAGGCCGCAGTTGGAGTACTTTGGGCTCCACAATTCAAAAAGGATGTGGAGAAGCTTGAGAGAGTGCAGAGGAGAGCCACGTGCATGATCAGAGGTCAGGAAAACAGACCTTATGATGAGAGGCTCAGAGTCATGGGACTCTTCAGCCTGGAAAAGCGCAGGCTCAGCGGCGATCTGCTGGCCACCTATAAGTTTATAAGGGATGTTCACCAGGATCTGGGGGAATAATTGTTCAGACGCTATCTCTGATACTTAAATTGTAAGCTTCCTAGGATAGGGATCATCTTTCTGTTTTTTTATCTGCACAGTTTTTAGTACAACATTCATGACGGGGACTCCCAGTTACAACAGTAATACCCATAACAAACAACAAACAACTACTACCAAAGTAGTAGAAAATATGTTGTAAGGAACAATCCTGCATTGACAAAAGGTAAAAAGCAATTGTAGGCCAATTTCTATATTTCTAATTTCTCTGATTCTGAGGCTGATTCCTCACTCATTTTCCATTAAGTTAGTCTTCAGGATGTGAAAAAGACCAGTAGATAATCCATTTTCTCTCCTCATGCTGTTGGTATGGACAGTGGTCCCTAATGAATCTGGATAATTTAACTATTGGCAGGAGCCAGCTAGGAAACCCTGGATGAATTATATATGCCTCTATTCCCAAAGGTTATTTCTTCTCTTCTAAACTCTATCCACTATTTCACACTTCTGAGTGAGTATACTGCTTATGGCAGTATTTGCACTGTTGACAGTTTCATAAATACCATAAGGCAACCAGAAATGAGATAATAATTTCAACATAAACAAAACGAGAAACAGCATGTATTCAATATTTTCCTTTTTTCACCCACTGAATGTTTTTGTATGATATGTTCTCAAGTAAAAAATATCCTTTAGTTAGGTGTTAACTGATTATTTAAATTTTTCCTTGCAGGTCGGTATTTCCTGACTTCAGATGAGAGTAAAAATAAAGCCTGAAGTTTTCTGCATTTGCTTTGGGTGGAAGAGAAATGGGTTGAGATTTGTTTTCACTTGTCAATCTAAGTAAGACATTTGGTGACCTTCTGGAACCAAAACTCAGTGCCTCTGGCTATAAAAATAAAAAATAAATAAATAATATATTTCTCACTGATAATAAAAAAGAAACCCTTATTAGGAAAAATAAATCAGCCAATCTGCATTTCCTCCTGTGAATAAAGAGACCTAGGGACCATATATTTATAAAAATAGCTGTATTTCTATTGTCAATACAATTTTTGTGTGCTTAATTTGAAGCTTAAATATGTAATGCCTCTTTTATCTAAATTACTATATATTTTTCTATGTAGCAGTAAAGGGAGCTTTCAGCATGGACCAGGTAAATAATGTCCTACTTAGTCATGAAAGATGGTGCAGGAAAATAAATCAAAGGGCATCTTACCTCTGGTCATCACAATTCCTGCAAGAGTTTTGTGGCGTGCATGCATGGACGTGAAATTATCTGTCACCTCTTGGAACTTCTGTGTAACCATTTGATAAATGGAATCGGCAAAATCCTGAAAGACACGATCAGAAAGATTTCTTTCACTTTCTTTGACTGAAACACTTATGTATATCCGTCAACCTTATAATAGTCAACCTTTGGGTTCTTATTTTTAGAATTAAAATCCAACTACCTGAACAAAAATAGCAGGAATGGTCTTGTAGACTATCACAAATCACCCCTGACTACCTCTGAAAGGCTGGATGCCTGGACTTGAGCTAAAGTTAAACTCACACTGGGTGCATCTACAAGTTCATTAATGTGCTTTTCCTAATGTGCACTAAATTTACTACTAAATAAGGTACTAAATAAATGTGCATTAGGCTGCCCTATTACACAATAGCCAAAGCGCATGCTTTTTTAGTGACACTTAATGCGCAGTAGCCTATTTTACTGTATATTAGCATATTGGCACAGTTTTTACATGATGCTTTAATGCACAGTAAAATAGGCTACTATATATGAAGCACACATGTAGATGCTCCCACTGAGTAGGGTTTGTATCAAATTCTTAATGCTTAGACAGAAGACAGAATTTGACATATTTTCTTTCTGATCATTGGTCCAGGGCCAGTGTATAGAAAATGTAGGGGTCCTGTAAGCAATTTTGTAGCCTGAAAATGTACCTTCACACTGACTGAATATACCTCTATTAGGAGGAGTCCATTAGGGCTACGCAGCAGTCATTGCCAGTTAGCAATAGTGGGCTAAATCAGACCAATAGTGGGCCAAACCAGTTGTCCCCTGTCAGCATGTAATGTTGCACAGGGAAGCTGGAGAAGTGCTAGTTACTCAGAATATTTGTTTCTAGTGCTGCAAATTTCCAGACTGGGGAAGACATGGTGAATGGCAGCTGCTTGACTCCTCTAGTCCCCAGGAAGAGCCAACAACTGGGGAAGTTTACTGGTGTTCACTCCTGGGTGAGAAACTCTCATGCAGGTGTCATCTTCATTGTTAAAAGAGGAAGATCCTTCTCCTGGATCCAACATTTTCCTGCAGGAGAAAGTGCATGAATGAGTGCACCCTCCCAGTTTCTAGCAGGAGAGCAGCATTTCTCCCTCTAGAAATGTAATGCTTATCCATACCCCCAGTCTCACCCTGAAAGAGCTCTTGCCATGTGCAGCCAAATCTCCAGCTGTCCCCTGCATTTTGTACTTTTATATCCCCTCATTTGTAACTCATCTGTCTTGTGTCTTGTTTGCATAATAGCAAAAATAAGAGAACCTGGCAAAAAAGATCTGTTTTGCTCCACTTCTAAAACTCCAAAACTTCATGGAATGAAAAATGTTGATGAAGAACGAGCATTCTAATTTAGGAAAACACATCTGCTTTCCAGGGGGAGGGCGATTCTATTTGCAGATATTACTGACAGTGCCACACACCGAGTGAGCCTCCCTGAGCCTTCTTTGTTTTTTTCTATATGCCATATGTTTCTATAGTTGCACTAATAAGTGCTCATTAATTTTTAAACATGACTGTCAATTAATAAGGGAACCCCACCTAAATAAAACATAAGACAAATTAGGCAATCCACTTTTCCCCAGAGTTTTGACTCTTTTTTCCTTCTCTTCTGGAAGTGACTATGATTCTTAAGCACGCTGAAGTATAGAGATGTCTCTTTGCCTTGATCAGCTTGTCTTGTTTTACTAAGTGTAGCTTTCTGGCTGATGATCTGTCACAAAACTGACCCATTTGTGCAGCAGAAGAAAAGGGACTAGTATGATAGGAACACTTGGTGCTGCCTCGTTGCAAAACAGAATGGCCCTCCATAATTATTCTGTTAGATGAGACTCACGTGAAATCCTACCTGGAGATAGGAGTGAAAAGGGAGAAAATGCATTCAGGAATATTTTGGCATTTTTAATAGACTATTTCAGTGTTGTTTACTTTTCTTCTAATATAATTTTCCATAATAGGCAGCATCTTGTTCATATAAAAGTCTTTAGAATATGTATGAATGCTGGGCTTCTTTTAATTCATTTATTTGATTACAAGAATGACTGTTTTGTGATTAAACAGTATTTGCATCAGGCTGAAGCTGTAAAAGTTTAAAAAAAATTGGTGGCCAAACCAGTAAATTGGGACTAAGGAAACCAATCAACGGTACAAATATTGGCTGTGCAGGAAATAGTTCATAAATGTGAAAAAAACAGACAGAGGAGGGCTTGTGAAAAGGGAAAAGGTCTACATTCACAGAAGATGTTTACTATGAATTGTTTGCAAAGGAACAGGGATAATGTCTTTTAAGAGCAATATTCAGTATGCATGTTAATACTAATAATCTACAGGAACAGCAGTAACAGAATATGTTCTCACCTACAACACGCCCTGGAATAAGATATTCACCTTGTTTTTGAAAGGCAGAATGAAAAAATAATCTTTCCGTGTAAGTGAGTAGCATCAGCTCAGGAGCCAAGCCTGCTCATTGTTCTCTCTGTGGATTGTGTGCAGTTACTTTCATTTTCACCTAGCAGAATTTTCAAGGAGCAGAAACTGTTTTTACCTTATTTTTCCACTTAAATACACAACCAAATTTCCAGCAGTTGTATTTTGGAGAAGGCGTGTGTTATTTTCAAGAAAATATAGATTCATAGATTTATAGATTGTAGAGTTGGAAGGGACCACCATGGATCATCATGTCCAACCCCCTGCCCCTGGCAGGAAAGAAGACCGAGGTCAGATGACCCCAGTCAGGTGACTATCTAGCCTCCTCTTGAAGACCTCCAAGTTAGGTGATAGTACTACCTCCAGGTAGATGACATCAGCCTCAGCTCCTGTGTCAAGGCAGTGTGTAACCTGGTCATAAAAGGCTATAAGGTTTGTTAGGCAGGATCTACCTGTGACGAACCTGTGCTGGTTTCCTTTCAGCATCATTTCCCCTGCTGGGCATTCACAAATGCGCCCTTTGATGATTTTTTCCAGTATTTTCCCAGGGATAGAGGTAAGACTGACTGGCCTAAAGTTACCTGGCTCATCCCTTCTCCTCTTCTTAAAAATGGGCGCCACGTTGGCCCTTTTCCAGTCCTCAGGGATCTGGCCGGAGCACCATGAGTGCTCAAACAGCTGTGCCAGCAGCTCAGCTATGACACTGGCCAATTCCTTCAGCACCCGTGGATGGAGGTCATTCAGGCTGGCTGACTTGTACCCATCCAGCCCTTCCAAGTGCTTCTTAACTAAGTCAGCACCATATTGTACAAGTCAACACCTTACCTATTTTCACAGGGGGAAATTCAGGTGAAGCAGTGTTTGAACAAGACAGGCCATCACTTCTCCTATCTGGCTATTTTTTTTTTATTACTCTGACTCCCTAAATCCCTATCCTGGATTTGATATTTGTTTTGCCTTTCCTTTTAGGATATAAGTATTCTGGAGCAAAGATAGTTATTAAGGACCAAATCCTTAAAGACTTAGTCAACTAATTCTCACTGGGTGAGTCTATATGTGCACTTTAATGCACAGTAGCCTATTCTATTGTGCATTAAAGCAGCGTGTAAAAAAGTGCTAATATGCTAATGCATAGTAGAATAGGCTACTGCTCATTAAGTATCACCTAAAAAGCATGAGCTTGCACTATTGTGCATTTAGCACAGTCTAATGCACATTTATTTAGTATCTTAAATTGGAGGTAATCAATGTAATGCGCATTAGGACAAGCACATTAGTGCATGTGTCGATGCGCCCCCTGAAATAAATGTGTTGTGTAATAGGTTCCTGACAACATATGTGTGAATAATGGATTTTTCAGTGAGGTGGCATTTGACTAAGATCAAGCATGACAGGAGGCATCCAAATTTGCATGTAGGATATCTGCCAGGATACAGGGAGCATCTGAATTTGCAGGCCTGTGGGCCCATGATATGGGATGCTGGCTTGCTTGAAAATATATGGCGCATGGATACTTGTACACATGGTTATTCAGGTTTGTTCAGCTGGATTGAGAATTTAATTGGCTATTGCAAATATAGCATCAGCAATGGCAGTAACAGTAGTAGCTATAATAATAATAATAATAATAATGAAACTTTTCTATATTTTTCAGCCAGACTAAAAATAAATAAGAACATAAATAAAAGCAGGTTAACTGAAATATTTGACTCCAGTGACATGAAAGATTTCATTTAGCTTTTGGTTCACCCTTTTAAAATCTTCTAAAAAATTTAGATCCAAATCATCCCTAATTTTGCAATAGTGTTCATTGCACCAAAGCTTCATTGTTTGGTGAATATGATATTACCTACTACAATTTGCATAGATCCATTCCTGACTCATTTGGCCTCTAGGGGCACATCCAGATGAGCCCAGCCAGGTGGTACGTGGCACGGCAAACACGTCTGCAGCACCATGTACCTCACAGTCTGGTGTTCTCTGCACTGCAAGGGCGCACTGCCCGTGCGTTCGCTGCTCTGTTTTTTTTTCACCCATGTGTTTTTTTGACCCCTGAATATCCAACCAATGAAAAAAAAATGGAGCACCTCACGCTTGGGCAGCATATGCTGCTGAATAGCAGAGCTGGGCCACCTGGAGCTGCATACTGGCCAGGATCGCTGCAGCTGCAGGCCCAAGAGCCCCCAGGTAAGACTGCTGGGGTTAGCATAGTACCCCCTACTGCCCCCAGGGTAACTTGCCATGTGCCAAAGTGTGTGTGAAGAGGCCTTTTTCCCAACTATGGTGTTAGGCATGATGTGGTCTCCCTGTGCAGGGCTCTTAAAAGGGCATTCCTTCTGGTCAAGTGCAGGGGGAGAGACTGTTTCTGTTTCATTCCAGCCTTGCATGTTCCCAGAGAAAGACTGAGCCTTGGAGCTCCACAAAGACACTATGTATGTGCTCCTTAGATAACTAACTGCAGACTGAAGTGCCTAGCTTTAGGCACCTGCACTCAAAATATTTTGTTTAAAACATGGTAAAGACATCTGGGGTACTGTGTTCAGTTCTGGGACCATTACTTCAAGAAGAGTGGCTAGGGTGGTGTGGGCACTGCGGGCATTTTTACACATGCAAGTGCTGTAGCTCTGG